TTTGTTTTGGATGAAATCGCCGTAGATTAGTTTCATCTACTCCAAGGCTAATTATAAAAGTTGGCGATATGATTGCCATATATTTGAGTGGAGGACATTTTGTCGAAAAATTTTAAAAACACAAAAAGAGAGGAAGGAAAGACAACAGCTAAACAAATCATATAATTATTACTAAATACAGGGTGAGATGAAAAAAACTGCAACCAAACAATCAAACTGATGTCATTTCTAAACCACTCGTCCGACGGCTGTTAAAATTATTATAGTGGCAGCTCATTATATTGTTTACAAGTGAAAAATGGCTCGTGAGCTGAACATATCGCAATATTCCATTCGCAAATATTAAAAAATGAGCTCGGGGAGTTGCTTCGCTTGGCCGAAATTTGTGAACTGAACGTAGACCAATGCATGGCGAGATGAAGAAACTGCACCCAAATTCAGACTGCTGTCATTTCTAAGCCACTTGTCCGACAACTGTTAAAATTATTCCAGTGCAGCTTATTATATTGTTTACAAGCGTACAAAATCATTTTCGTGAGAGTTTTCCAGAAAAAAAGTTATTCGTGATGGAATTCAAGCGTGATAGTGTGATTTCTTTATATTTGGCTGAAAACCCACAAGTGGCTATCGTTAGCACTCCAGCATTTAAATGTGAATAAATCTTTTGTGTCTCGTAACATCGCTCGTTACCGTGATGCTGGTATCGTGGACGGAAGAAAACAGCAACATCAGCAGAAATGGTTCGAAAAGTAAAAAAACGCTTTGATCGAAACCTGCGTCGCAGTGGCCGAAAAGTGGCTCGTGAGCTCAACATATCGCAATATTCTATTCGCTAAATATTGAAAATGAACTAGGGGTAAAGCCATTGAAATTCCAAAAAGTGCAAGAACTTACACCGTAAACAGGCAGACTCAAAAGAGCTAAAAAAACAGACTCAAAGAGCTAAAGAGTTGCTTCGCTTGGCCGAAAGTGGTAATCTACCGAATATGATTTTCTCCGATGAGAAAACCTTCGTTGTCCAGCAGTTTGTAAACAAAAAAAAAAAAATGATCGTGTTTACTTGCCAAAGAGGTCAGCTGAAAATGTGCACCTTCGGTTGGCCACCAGAAATCAAGCGCCGGCCATGGTGATGGTGTGGGCCACCATAACAGCCGATGGTCGCTCTCCACACATATTAATCAACCGTGCCTTCTTCTTCTTCTGATGCGAAATTCTATGTCGATTAGGTTTCAATTGTGGCTTATAGAACGACTATAAAATTTGAAAAAATAATTTTTTTTGGTCTTTTTGCACCTCTAAATGCACTTCTTAGAACAATAGGCTTTAATTATGACCCTAACCCTACCCCCATGCAAAATTTCGTGTGGATCGCACGATAATTGCGATATGCATATAATACCCACAAAACGTAGTGTTGGGGGGTGTAAAAATTTAGAAAATTTACAATTCAAAATTGTAAGTCAAATTGAAAAAAATCGCATGAGATAAAAAATTATGACAAACATTAAAAAAAAAAAAAAAACGACAAAAGACATTTACTTTTTATACCCTACAACATTGTGTTGGGGGTATTATAAGTTTGATTGGGTCAGAATTTATGTAACACCTCGAAATATTGGTTTCCCATATAGGAAAGTATATATGGATCTTCCCAGCTCGCCGAGCTGAGTCGATCTAGCTATGTATGTCCGTCCGTCCCTCCGTCCGTCTGTCCATAATAATTTGTAATCACTCTACAGGTCGCAATTATAGACCATCGTATGTAGGTAGAGTTTAGGGCGGGGAAGAAGCCTACCAATTTGGGTGGTCATCGGATAATATTTAGCGGGTAAAATAGAGCATTTCTTTTGTGTTGAAAAAATTCAACATTTTTCATTAAACCGCGAATATTTTAAATCCCGTCGAAATCACAAAGCCATGACAAGGTTACTTCTGATCTTTACATAGATGTTAACATCCAACAAAACGGATATATAGCAAAATATGTGCGATATATATGTCTATCAAAGAAGATATGCTTGAAAGATCTCTTATATGTCGAGAACGGCTGAACTGATTTCGACAGTTCTTATTAATTCAGAATGGCTTCTTGGCAAAAAGAAAAATCGTCTAAAAAAATTGCATAAAAATATCTCTCTAAAGATGAAAATATTGATTTTCTAACATTTTCTCATATTTTTTTCAATTTTTTATTTTCATTTTGAATTAAACATTTGGTAATATTTCTACAGCTAGTTAGGATATCAGGATATCATATACAGATCGCATTTATGGCCCGATCCTTACGAAATTTTGCATGGGTAGAGGATGAGGGTCAGAATAGATCGCAATATATTTAGGGGTTGAAATGGACCAAAAAACTGCAAAATTATCAGCAGGTCGTAGTTATCGCCCGATCCTCACGCACATTTGAATGGGGGTAACCGGACATTGCAAAAGCCAAGGAGTTTTGGATGGCCATCCAAAAATATTCAATGTGTGAAATAGTTTGCCAACTTTTGTAGACAAAATACGAAAATGACCATTCCAGTGAATTTTTGGAGAATTCACAAATACAGGAAAGACGCACTTCTGACTATTTCGTTAACGCTGATTTCGTTGAAGAATATAGTCAAATGTCTGTATCTCATATAGAAGCGTTTCAGTCAAAAACCAATAATAAATGTTAATTTTTTGCCACTTCTGAGAGATTATAGTTCTTTGGGAAATATTGGTTCCAGATCTAGGAAGAACATTTACGTGCAACATCTACCAATAAATTAGAAATGAGCAAATTAGTTTAAGTTGCTATTATTTGAAAATTAGAGAACGAAACCTAATGGTTTTCTTTTATAATTTATCACAATATCTGGTGGAATTCTTACGAGTATCTCGCCTATATAAACAGTATCGTTTATTATAGTGTTGTATGGTATTCAACGGTCGGCCCCGCTCGACTGTAGCCTTTGCTTAATTGTTTATTGGTATGTTTTTCCGCGATTTTTTGAGATTTTATATCGGCAAGAGGCCATTCCGAATTGATGGAAATTGTGAAAATCGGCCTAGCGGTTCTTGATAAATAAGATCAATTATTTTACATATATGTGTTGTACCTATTTTGTTATATATCTGATTTCTTGGCTATTAGCATCACTCTAATGATCAGATGTGATCTTTTAGTGTATTTGTGATTTGGCTGGGATTGAAAATATTCGCGGTTTAGTGGTTTTCCTACATAAAGTTAGGCTCTAAATTGGTAGGTTTCTGCCCACTCCTAATTTCTAACTCCATGTAAATTTTCGCGTTGATTGGTTCATAATTGTGTCCTATAGAGAAACTGCAAAATCAGGATGTTTTTTTTTTTTTTTTTTTTGGTTTTTGGTCCATTTCAACCCCTAAATATCGTGCGATCATCTCTACAAACAATAGGGTTCTATTCTGACCATAACCCCACCTCCATATTCCATTTCGTGAGGATCAGTTCATAATTGCGACCTTTTGCTTCATTAAAAATTAATAGGACCGACAGAAGGACGGACATACATAGTTAGATCGTTCCATATATACGTTCCATATATACGTTCCTATGTGGGAAACCAATATTTCGAGGTGTTACATAATTGTTGGCCCAATAATACCCCCAAACACAAAGTGTTCTAGGGTATAACAATGTGTAGTTGTTAGTAAATTTCATTCGAATGTAGTATTTGTGCAGGTTTTCAATTATAAACATTTCAAGAAACCTCTGTGGAATATTTTCCAAAACTACAACATGGGGTATTTTTATATGGTTTTAATACTTAAATGGTGCAAATTGTGTTTTATTAATGCAGAAATCGTATTTCCAAATTATATATATTGAAAGATGTATGTACGAATTTGAATTTGGAGGATTTGTTTAGCCATTAAGGAATTTTTATTCCAAAAAGCGACAAAAATCGTGAGGATATATCAATGAATTTTAGTAAAATTCGTGTTGCTTAGTTTTAGGGGCCTATAGCCAGGGATCACTGGTGTCGCATCTGAATTGAAAGACTAATTTAAAATATTCACTTAGCAGTGTTAGTGCCAATAGCTTCATTATATCGCACAGCAAGTACCTATAAAATCAGAAACTTGTACATAAAGGGTGCACACAAAATTGGACAACTTACTTATCATATTTTAAATGTTTTTCGACAACAAAAATTATTATTTGTATTGATAGCTCTTTAAGTGCACCATTTAGAGCCCCTGCATAATCAGGAAACATAAGCTTTTGATTGATTTCATATGTAAATTAAATTGGTATCTATTTCGGCCCCCGAGAAATCACGGATTTCGGGAGGAGACGAAATATATCTACCCAAACCTTAAATATATGGCATTCATTCCAGTGAACAAGACCACAAAGCTTTCATGTTCAAAGTGAGATTTTACGCATATTAATTATATCATCATTATATTCATTATACAATTTATTGGATTGCCCATCGAAATTAATACAATTCCAGACAGACATTCTTCAGAACATAGAACACTTCCCATTCTTTTTAGTTACAATTAAAATAGCCTTGGCATCCCTGAATGCAATGAGTAAATCGGGAAGAACTGAGATCTCCCAAATGAAATGAGAAAACTTTCCATTCGAGAGTATCATTAAATGCTCAGTAAATTTACTGCGGCGACCGGCAGATCGACCAACGCATAGTTAGCACACCGCCTCCTCCCCCTCGCACTAATTGGAATGGGTTTGTGAGTGTGCGAGTTTTTCCCAAATGCTGTGCTTTCTAGGAGAGAAAATTTCCACAATGTGTGCTGTGTTGGCTTCAAGTTTGTGTGAGTTTGTGTTCAGCTTGTTGTTTTCAGTTCCGATTGGAAAATGCACCGGTTTCTCATCAATTTTTTTGTTTTTTGTGTAGACTACAACAAAATATGTGTACATATATTTAAAACACACAAAGAAACAAGAATTGAGAGAAATTTTCGAATACGTGCCGGATGGTGTTTGGGATAAAACATTTTCATATTGAAAGAAAATTTTTGTGAAAATCATTCAGTTCGGGAGTAAACGGCGGCAAGTAAAGATCTCTGAAAACTAAGAAACCGAACCGAAAGCGCAGTGTGTGTGTAGAGAAAGTGTTAAGATCTCTATATATAGAATTAGATATATGTAGCTATATTGACTGAGAAAAAAAAGGAAATAGATACATACAGTTCAAAAAAGAAGAAGAAGAAAAAGATTTTCATTAAAAACTGAAGATTTACATATGACTCAAAATTGTTGGTGAATCGAAAAAAAAATTAAAAAAAAAATAATTAACTTAAAATCATGGCCGATGTACCGGAACCTGTCAAAAAGTGTGCCCTCATGCTAAAGGCAACCAAAAGTGACTCGGAAAAATTTGCTGCCTTGTTCATGGTCACGAAATTGGTGAAGGGCAAAGACTGCAATGCTGCTGCCAAGAAGTTGCTGTTCGAAGCCATTGGTTTTGATTTCATGAAAAAGTTGTTGAATGGCAAAAATCTGCCCAATGACTGCCCACCTCTGGTGTATAAAAGTGTGGCCTTGTCCATACTCACCTGCTTCTGCCAAGAAGAGGAATTGGCCACCCACAAGGATTTGTTGGATGTCATACCCACGTTGCTGGAAATTGTGGAACAGGCCGATGATGATGACTGCGATGATAATCTGATTGTGGTGAGTGAAGCCTATAGCTGTCTGAAATTGATTGCCGAACATGAGCCGGGCCAAAATGCCCTCATGAGCATGAGTGCCATTCCCAAGATGTCCCAGATCTATTCGGCTCAAAGTTTCCAAACGGATGAGGCCTTGCAATTGATTGTCTTGTTGGTAAAGAAATTCGGCAAGGCCTCATGGACCGATGATCCAAAGCCCTTCCATGCCTTGGTGCAACGCATTGCCTTGGACATGGAGACGGAACACAGTGAGCGCAAGTACGATCTGTGCAAGATCTTGTCGGCCATTTTGAAAACCTGCAAACGTGAGATTATCTACAATTCGCTGGAGGGTGAAATTTGGCCCGAGAGTTTGTTCAAGGGCTGCAGTGATATTTTGAAGAGTAAAATTGGCCCCAAGCAGAGGGACCCCACGTTGCACTTGATTGCCACCACCCTGCAGGTTTTGGGCATCCAGTGGGCCTTTATGTGTGATGAGAAACAATTCTATTTGTTGATCCTGCAAATGGCTGCCATTGAGGTGAGAATGCAAATGGATGAGAAGAAGCTGGAGGCCACCTTCCGCAATGCCCCTCTGATCCAGTGTTGTTTCATTATTTTGGAACACTGCATCGAATACATGTCCAAGGATCAATTGGATTTGGATGCCAAGGAAAAGCAGACCACCTATTCCGCCCTGAAATATGCCTTTAATCAAGTTTTGGCTGTGCTGACCAGGGTGTCCAATGACAAGGTAAAGGATAGCAGCAATCCCAAGGATAGAGAATTCATCAAGGCCACGGTGCGTGTACTGTCCGCCTGGTTGGCCCAGGAGACCACGGCCATGCGACCGGCCATATACAAGTTGTTGCCGTTTATGTTTAAGGTAACGAATGACTCTTTCAATGAGTTGAAGGAATGGCGTGCCGGTCCCAAGGACACTGAGCCACCTGTAGACATTCTCCGGGTTATGTTGCCCGCCTTGTGCCACTTGGTTGTGGAGGATGATGCCCGTAAGGTGATATTTGCCACCAAACAGGATGAGGTATTCCTGCAACAAATTGAATTCTATTTCACCATTGCCCACTACAAACGGCCACCCATACCTCGGGCCGAACGTTTGAAACGTATGAACGAACCCGATCCCGTACCCACCCCCGAGCAGTTGGCTGAAATGAAGACGGCCCGTGCTGCCATTTGTTCCCTCTGCAATATTCTAATGAACTTGACGGTCTTGGAACCCAAACTGGCCGAGGATGGTCCCGTGTTTGCCAATATGTTTAAATTTGTCTACGAACATTTGCCCGAACTCAAGGACACTCCCGACAATTTGCTGATGCACGGCAATTTGGCTGTCCTGGGTTTGCTGTTGCTCAAACAGCAATCGAAGAAGGTGAAACAAAACGATTTCTCCATTTGTCGTTACATTCAGGCCACCATACGTTTCCTCTGGGATGCCTATAACATTGATGAGTCCAATGATCCAACTGCCCTGGTGGTGTCCATTGCCTACAAGGAACACTGGATGGAGTTGCAGGAATTGTGGTTCTTGGGTATGCAAACCATGTGCGGTGTCCTGCCCTTGGTGCCTTGGATTTCGGAGTTTGCCATTGAATCAGGCTGGGCCGAGGGTATTGTGCAGACCCTGAAGCGGGTCAAGATTGGCACTCTGCCGGCCAATGTGAAATGTGCCTATGAAGATTTCCTCTCCCAACTGGTGGATGTCAACTCCACCGTGGCAGCTGTTTTGAAAAAGGCCGATGCCTTGAGGGTGTGTCGTAATCATCGTATGATGGAATTGGGCAAGAGACTGTTTGGTGACTAAGTTTCCCCCCCGGCCCACAAGGAGAGGATCTTTCTATATTTCTTCTTAAATTTAAGTTTAATATGTTTTTAAATCCACTTTTTTAATAAAAAAAAACAAAAACTATTTTTTTTCTTATATTTAAAATAATTAACACCATTTTTTTTTTGTATGAATAACAGCTACAAATAAACAAAATCCCTATGAAATTTTTTATATATAAAAAAAAGAAAATGAAAAAAATAAATCAAAAAAATTTCCAAACAACAATGCATTGGAGGAATGGCTGCTAGTGTGTGTGTGTGAGTGGGATGCTGAGAGGCTGCCAGACTTTGTATTGGTAACCGCATCATCCTCATCTATGCCATTATGGCCATCGTCATGTTTATTTTCAAGTGTTTTGTTTTTCTGCTGCTGCTGCTACTGCTGTACATGGACCGACCGACCAACAGACAGACAGACAGCCAGCAGCTGGTATATACACGTAAGTACAAACACACAGAAATATATGTGGGGCAAAGCAAACGCCTACATGGTTATTTTTCTTGTACATTTATTGAAATGTTGTTGAACGGATGACATGTTTTTTCTTCTTCGTCGTTTTAATTTTGATTTTTTTTTTGTCATTTTGCACAAATTAGACTTTCTCCGGAAAATCAATGTAGCAATGGAAAAATGGCGCAGGAAACAAGAAATAATGAATACAGGGGGACTTCGAAAAATACTACCATTTTTGATAAGAAAACAAATATAATATCTTAAACCCTCTAAACAAATCTATCTATCAAATCTCCAAGACCTTCCCATCGTTCCTTCATTGGAATTTTATCCATAACTGGAAAATTCAAAATCTTTTTTTCTTTCTTCTTGTAATTTTGTACAAATTAGATTTCCTCCATAAACTCAATTTAGCAATGGAAAATGTCAAAATCAAACGCCATTTTTTTGCATGAAAGAAAAAACTGTCGGAAATAGCATAACACTTTGAAATAAGCTTAGATTTGTTCGAATTGGTCACCTTTGGCTCGAATTATGACCTTCAAACGACCAATGAAACCGTCACACGCTGCCCGAATGTTGCTCTGCGGTATTTTGGCCCATTTCCGGCGAACCGCTTGCTTGAGGTGATCGACACTTTGAATATAATTTTTATTCCTCATTGGAAAATTGAAAATCTTTTTATACCTTCCACCATCTATGGAGGGTATACTAACTTTGTCATTCCGTTTGTAACTCCTCGAAATACTCATGTCAGACCTAACAAAGTATTTATATTCTTGATCAGCGTAAAATTCTATCTGTCTATCCGTCTGTCTGTCGTAATCACGAACGAATCTTTCGAACGAATTGGGATAGAAGGCTAAAATTTTGCACACTTTTTTTTTCTCAGTAGGCAGGTTAAGTTCGTAAATGGACTATGTAGGTCCACGTTTTCATATAGCCCCAATATATTCGGTATTTTGATGATTTTAGCGACATTATTGACGGGAATCGTTTCAAATTTGGTATTTGAAGTTCGTGACGGATACTACAGCTTAAGACAGAAAATTGTCTGTGCAGGTCCACGTCATCGTATAGCCCTCATATAACGGTACCTCACGATATTGGGTATGTTGATGATTTTAGCGACTTTATTCACCGAAATTGTTTCAAATTTGGTATTTGAAGTTAGTAATGGATACTACAGCCTAAGACAGAAAATCGGTTATGTAGGTCCACTACTCCGTATAGCCCTCATATAACGGTACCCTCCGATATTCGGTATTTTGATGATTTTAGGGACATTATATACCGGAGTTGTTTCAAATTTGGTATTTGAAGTTCGTAATGGATACTGCAGCCTAAGACAGAAAATTGTCGGTGCAGGTCAACGTCTTCGTATAGCCCACATATAACGGTACCTCCCGATATTCGGTATTTTAGCGGCATTATTCACAGATTTTTCGTTTCGCATTTGAATATTGAAATGGCTTATGACAAACATTTCCTATGCAGGTCCATGTCGTCGTATAGACCCTAATGTAACAGCTATATTCGGTATTTTTAAGATTTTAGTAGAATTTTTAACGGATTTTATTGTTTTTGAAAACTGCCAAATTCGTTTCAAGTGGTGGAGATTATTCAAAGTTCGGCTCGGCCGAACTTACAGCTTTTTTACTTATTTTTTTTTTTTAAATATTGTATAAATTAGATTTTCTCCATAATCTCAATATAGCAATGGAAAATGTCTCATGGAAGAAGAAATAATAAATACAGATGGACCTCGGTAAAAACTAATTTTTTATATTTATAGGGTGAGATAAAAAAAAACTGCAACAAAGTCAAACGCCATAATTTTTCCGTTTTTTTTTTAAGCAAAAACTGTCGGAAATACTTAAAACTTAGGAATAAGTTTAGCTTTGTTCGAACTGGTCAACTTTGTCATGAATTATGGCCTTCAAACGTAAAAAAAAGCTTCACACGAGTTAAGTAAATAGAAGAAACACACTTTAGTTCAATTAATTTTATTATTTAATATTTGCGACACTTCGCTTTAACTTCTTACATACGACTGATTTAACTCTATGATTTACAACAATACTTATAACATAATTTCTTAAAACTAAGGGTTATGGATGAGAGAGATCAGAATTCAATTTAAAAGGAAAGGAATAAAGAATAATTTATAAAGAATGAAAATAAAAAAAATAAAACAATATATACAGTGAAGGGCATAACTGAACAATTACGTAACTCACGCTGCCCGAATGTTGCTCTGCGGTATTTTGGCTCTTTCCCGACGAAGTGTTTGCTTGAGGTGATCGAGACTTTGATAATTTTTTAGTGCCAACCTTGCTTTCCAAAATACCCCAAACATAATAGTCCAACGGATTGGTATCAGGAGATTTTGGTGGCCATTGTGCGCTGGATATGAAGCAAGGAACCTCATTTTGTAACCATTCTTGGGTGGCGCGTGGTGAGTGCGATGGTGCCTGTTGGAATATCCAAGGTCTGCGGCCAAAATGTTTGCGTGGCCAAGACTATGATACACCTTCCCAAATAATTTCGCGATAATATTCGGCATTTATTCTGATGCCACGGTCAATTAATACGAGCGGAGAGCGGTCATCGGCTGTTATGCCGGCCCACACCATCACCATGGCCGGCGCTTAAGTTCTGGTGGCAAACCGAAGGTGCACATTTCCAACTGACCTCTTAGGTAAGTAAACACTATAATTTCGTTTGTTTACAAACTTATGGACAACGAATGTTTTCTCATCGGAGAAAACCGAATTCGGCAATTCAACATTTTCGGCCGAGCGAAGCATATCTTTAGCTCTTTTGAGTCTATTTTCTTTCTGTTGCGCTGCAAATTCTTGCACTTTTTGGAATTTCAATGGCTTTACCCCGAGCTCATTTTTCAATATTTGCCAAATGAAATATTGCGATATGTTCAGCTCACGAGCATTTTTCGGCTACTGCGTCGCGGGTTTCGATCAAGTGGCTTTTTTACTTTTCGAACCATTTCAGCTGATATTGCTGTTTTCTTCCGTCCATGTTCTTGACGTCGGGCTACACTACCAGCATCACGGTAACGAGCGATGGTACGAGACACAAATTTAAATGCTGGAATGCTCTAACGAAAGCCACTTGTGGTTTTCCAGCCAAATGTAAAGGAATCACACTATCACGCTGGAATTCCATCACGAATAACTATTTTTCTGGAAAATTCTCACCCAAATGCTTTTGTACGCCTATAAACAATATAATGAGCTGTCACTGCAGTAATTTTAACAGCTGTCGGACGAGTGGCTTAGAAATGACAGCAGTCTGAATTTGGTTGCAGTTTTTTCATCTCACCCTGTATATTCCATCCTAAACACTCTAATAAAATATAGGCATCTCCCACTGTACCCTCATTGGAAAATTGTTAATACCAGCAGACAGAGTGTTTATAGCTACAAAATAGGCAAAACAATAAACTATTATTCATTCATTTATTTTTATTAAATGCATATATTTTGTATTTTATTGTTGTTGTTGTGTTTTTTTTTTTTAATATTAATACAAAATGATATATTTTATTTACGTCCAAATATGCCATTGGGTCATTCATTTGCTTATTTGTCTTAATTCATACTTTCACTGCAAACGAAATTGTATTTCGTTTTCAATTTTATTTTCTTCTTCTTTTCTTTAAAAATAGCCAATGATAAAGCACATCAGCACGGTGTGCTGCATGTGTTGAGAATTTGTCTTATTTGAATATCGTGGGGGAAAATAATGAAAGAAAAACAAATATGTTTTATTGAAAACATCTGTCAATATTTGCTGGTGATACCGGTACGCCCATCATATAGCATTTTTAAAGGGTTAACTAATCATACGGGTAAATTAATAGAATTGTATATAAAATATTTTAGTGGGAAGAAAAGGGAAGTATCAGTTTGTCAAGTCAATAGCTATTTGTCATAAGTATTGGATTTTAATATCCTACATCTTACCATGGCATAGGGTGTATATAGTGGCTTCCTGCATTTGTATGGTGAAGAAGATATATACAAGGAAATATGATTCAGAGTCGACAAGCTATGAGTATTCTGCCTGTCCATGTTCACTTGTCATCACTATACAGATCGAAATTGTAGTTAAGAGGATGAAATGGGCCACGAATCGATTTTTCCGGATTTTTCGCTCTACTGGTTACAATTATAGAACAATTGATTATAGATTAATATAGGGGGATTTTTCGAGATTTTTTTTTTCAAACAAAAACACCCAAAGTTCGGAAAAATTATGATTGCCTCATATGGTCCATTCGCTTAGTCCTATTTTGACTAATATAAGACGGTTCTGTGTTGACTTCAAATAAGGCAATTGAAGTGGGATTGTTCGTATAGGCAGGAGCGTTAACGCAGCCACACAAAATACAGTCTAAAGCTAAAATACAGTCTCAAGCTCTTAAATCGCACAATATAGGCAGTCAATTGACCGGTCCCGAACTTGAAGTAAAATAAGTGGCACCATATTGTTGGAACCACATGTCATGCCATTCAAAGTCTTGTATTTTTTTGGGGAAAAAGTTGGATATCACGTTAGCGCTACGTTACGATTCGCAGCATCTTTGAAGAAGCAAGGTCCAATGATGCCACCAGTTCTTGGAACACCCCAACGTGCATTGGTAGTTTGTGGTCTTCACTCCAAAATCGACAGTTCTGCTTAATAAGTTACCACATGTCCTGGCAGTAGCGCGATGAAATGCCTTAACAGAACACTCATTTGATAATAGA